TACAATATTGGTGAAGTCATAGGGAAATGACACATGGGAAGACAGTGATGCTGGCCTGCCAGGCCCTGTGGCTGTCCCGTGAGCACTTGGGACACCTTCCGAATCTCTTGGGTAAAGAAATGGCCCCTGTGGAGAAAATGTACCCAGAAGAGGGTGAGCTGCCCCGGGGGGCACTGACAGCCTGGTGGCCAGCAGGTGCTTGAATTGGCTGATGCTGTTGTCACTGTGGAAAAGATTAAGGACAGGAGGGAGGAGGTGGTCAGGAGACAACAGTGAACATTAGAGGCCAGAGCCATGACAAAGGTCGGAGTCTAGAAGGCAGCGGGGTCCCAAGAGATATGGGAGCCATTAGGACCTCAGAGAAGGAGCAGCTGCATTGCACCATCCCTGGCACCATCCCTGGGGGTCCTACACCTAAAGTCAACGTTCCATTTCCAGCCAGTCCCAGCGAGTCAACATGCACCCTGGCTTGGAACACGCCCCCTAGACCAAGGGCCTGCTGATGCTGTTCGTCAAGGCATCTATCTCAAAGGCTCAAGATTGGGGACACTCTCGAGAAGAGACTGTGAACGATAATGACAACGTCCCACTCATGCAGTGGCAGGACCCTGGCTCCTACAGACCCTCCTGAGGAAGATGCCTCCCTCAGGCGCCCCGTGTTAGATCGCAGGGTAGGAGAGGCCAGTCCAGAGTCCTGCTGGCTCCTTTGTGCTCTGCTTCTTCGGAAGGTCATAGCAGAGCCACCGACAGCCAACCGGAGCTGAGGCTGCTTGGCGTCCTGGTAATGGAGACTCCAACACTGTCCCCAGGGCCAGGGTCAGAGTGGAAAGGAAGGAGGAAACAAGGGAGCCACTTTTGTGAAAAGAGAGCTGGGTGGGGGCACAGGAAGGGCAGGGGAGGAAAGCAGGAAGGAGGGTGGGGAGGGCGGCCCTGATGGAAAGTGCTCGAGGCCCCGAGGACAGAGGCCCTACTTTGACCTGAGGTAGAAGCAGGGGGGGCCTTCTGTACTCCTCCCACAAGGCTCAGACACCAGACTCCTGCAGCCCTTCATGGAGCCAGGCCAGGAAAGGCCTCTGTAGGCGATACCTCCAGTGGAAGGTGGGCCCCCATGCCCACCTCATCTACCTGCGGCCTTATTTCAATCCTGTGGAACATTCCACAGGCTGGACACTCTGGGCGTAAAATGCCACCAGTGGCTGAGGCAATGCCAGTCTTGTACAGGAGCTGCTGGGTCTCCCGACTGTGAGCACTGTTCCTGGAGCCATTCCAAGAGTAGACGGGAACAGGTAGCCCATGCAGAGGGGCTTGGACAGACCAACTCATGAGAAGGGCTTCATGGATTGGAGCCAGGCTGTGGGGACACTAACCCTCCAGAGACATCAGGGGATCTGTGGGAGACGAGACCACACCTGGGGTCAAAGGGCAAAGGAGGGAAGGGTAGGAGGAAGGGCCATGGGAGGAGCCCTCGAGTGGGGTCTTCTGGCAAGGCAGCAAGGCAGGGACAGTGAAGGAAGGACAGATTTCTCCCATGACAGACTCCCATCCAAGTCATTCCTGCCTCGGATGCTCTTCTCTGCCTCCAAATGGCTGAAATCCCACCCAGAAGCCCCAAGTGAGGGGTCTGGTGTGATACTCACTGACCTGACAGGGAGATTTCTAGTGCATAGTACAGACAACACAAAGACGACAGACAGACAAAGATCCAGTTGTTACCCCTGTTGCTGTCATGGTGGTTGATAGTAGTTTGTGGTGCAGATGGTGATGGTCCTGGCCATGGTTTTGGCGACAGTGACAGTGATATTTGGGGTGGTGACAGTGATGGTAATGGTCATGGTGGTCATGCTCATAGGTTTAGTGGTCATGGAGATGCTCATGTTGGGAATAGTGGTCATGGTGGTGGTGACAATATGGTGGTGAGGGAGTTGATGGTGGTCGTGTTCTTTGGTTTGGTGGTAGCGGTGGCGATGATGTTGAGGTTGGCAACGGTAGAGATGGTGGCGAGGACAGTGATATGGTACTGATGCTGGTAATAGTGGTGAAGGTGGTGATGACAGTGATTCGGCAGTGATGGTGGTCATTACATTAGTTTTGGTGGTGGCTGATGTCGGTCGTGGCGATGGTGGCGATGGGAGTGAAATGATGGTGATGGCGCTCGTGCTCTTAGTCTTGGTGGCGGTCATGATGTTCACAGTCACAGTTTCAGTGGTCGTGTTGACTACACCGCCATGGCAGGTAATGACACTGTCATTTTCTGAAGAGCCTGGACTGTCCCACAGCATTTTGCTCTCTGCTTCAGACCACTTATTCATCTTGGAAGCACTGGACAAACCCTGAGTCCCCTCTGTCCACACTGAGCTGTTGAGCAATGTCACCAGGCACAGGAAATCACCCCTGGCCAGGATGAGTCCTGCTGGCCATTAACTCACCACCCAGCTACTGTTTACCCACACTGCTGTGCATCTTAGTCCCTCCTTAGATGGCTGGCCACAGGTCATGCATCCCATGGCAGGCTCCAGTGCCCAACACCGACCCTTCCTAGTCCAGGTCACTTATTTCCCAAGGCCTTCGTGGGCCACCCATGGGAAGTTTGCTTCTGGGAGCTAGTGTTGCCCAGGATTCCTCTTCATTCTTCTACCCAGGTACCTGCCCACCCAGCAAAGTTTTCTTTCTCCTTCTCAGGCCTCCAGCAAGTCCCCCCTCCTCCCTGTCATGAGAAACTTGACTGGCACTGGGAGGAGAAGACATATTGGCATTTCAGAAAGAAAGCTGTTGGCTGCCGGCTGCTGGCCACAAACCCATACCTTCCTGGCCTCTAAGCATACACTGTCTGCACTTTGGCAGAGGACAGGTGGGTGTATTCAGTTCAAGTTTACAAAATAGAGTAGTCTGACCCTACATGGTTTATGCATGAATTCACTCCATTGCTCTTTATTTATTTTTCTTTTTTTTTGCTGGGGATTTGGCCAGGAGCATGCCAGGCAAACACTCTACCATCTGAGTTAGGCCCAGCTCCCTCCTCTGTCACTCTTCAAACCAGACTTGCCTATAAGCACACGTGTGTAAATACACTGTATACACACTGCACCATCACATAACACACTCACACAAGCATGCATGTACATATAACATGCACAGTCATACGTCATACATAAGCCACACACATATTCTCATTCATGACACAGTACCCCTGTATGCACATAACACTCACGCACATACCTACATTCGACATGCTCAAACATGCTCTTGAACATACACACACACACCATATACACAAACAGCCCACTCACTTTTACACATATGCAAAAAAGTCATGAGCATACAAGAGCATGCATGCACATACATTCAGAAAGTACACAAAACATGCCCATACCATAGAGTATACACTACACCTACACATACCAGCATCTTTTCATCTGGGATTTTATGTGGGAGTTCCCACATTGGTACTGGCCAAAAAGAGGCTGCCCGCCATTATTCTTCCTGCCTCCTGGACCTTGACCACAGAAGCAGACCTACTTTTAGTCCATGTCCCAGTGGTTCATGGATGGGTATGACAGGCTCCTGGGGCAAAGGAAGGCTGCTGTGACCACCTAGGCTGCCCGACCCTCAGGAGGCTTCCAAACAGGCCTGGACTCCTGAAGCCCAGCTATGAGAAAGCCTGTCTAGGGGAAGGGTGAGTGTAAAGAGTATGCACAGGACTTTTCTACAGGCCTGGGGAGCCAAAGACACTTTGTCACCACAGGGGACTCTTCACCTTCAGCCCCACCTTCCCCAAGACTCCAGAATTGCCCACCCAAATGTTTTTCTTTTTTATTGAGGAACGGATCTCGAGCATCCCAGGCAAGGACTCTACCAACTGAACTATCCCCACCTCCAGTTCCCCAGTCGCTCTTCTTGCTCTGCTTGGTGTCCAACAGCATCTCCAAGGAGACACATCTAATTTCCCCCGCGGTGCATGCTGTGGCTGCTGCATGTTGCTCAACGTCAAGCTATGTTCTCCTGGTTCCCAGGAGACCCTTTAAGTTTCAGCATCCAAATGCATCAGAGGTCGAGTCCCTCCCCACCCAGCACTGGATTCCTGCAGGCTTCTACTGCAGCCTCCACAGCAGGAGAACAGAGAGCATCTGCAGAGGGCTCTGCTCTCAGCCATGCCGGCTGCCTCTGGCCCAGCAGGTGCCCCTCAGCCAGAGTAGTAGGACCTTGACCGCGGCTCCCAGGACTCTCCGCCAGAATCCTTTTACAACAGTAATGATGCAGTCACTTCCACAGTCCCCTTCTGTTCCTTTCCTACCTCCTTGGGGACATACACCCCAGAAAGATGCCAGCCTCCACCGGATATGCTAATGAAGGGCAGGGAGTTGGAGGAAGACAGGAAGAGGAGGAAGAAGAGGACTCAAAAGGGAAGCGGGGGAAGGAGAGGACTTGGTAAATGTTTTGCTAAGGGAGTGAGTGAATGGAACACAGCTCTGCAGCCCCGTGAGGTCCCGAAAACACAGAAACCAGGGAAGGAACTGCAAAGGAGAAGACAGCCCTGCCTCACCGTGAAGAGGACTTCTCAGGCTGGCAAACCTGTCCCTTCCTCTCAGATCCCTCTGAGGACCCTGAGCCTCTACCACGTTCATGAGCAGCTGAGCTGCCAGGCAGACATTAGCAGAGGCGGTGCTGGGGGGAGGGAGTGGGGGGAGGGAAGTGGAGGGGTGCGCACAGCCTGTCACTGCAGCTGCTTTATGCCAAATGCCTGGAATTCTGGAGTCCCTCCCACCCAGCAAGCAGGGCCAGCTGAAGGCTGGCCCCCTTGAGCTGGCTGCCAAAAGGGTCTGTCTGCCTGCAAGCTCTGCCTCTCAGCTTTACCCAGAAGCCCAGAGTGCAGGTCAGTCAGCGTGAGTACTGTGTTTCGGAGGCCCCTCCCACCCATGCTTGCAGTGAGGCAACCTGATCCGGCACCCCCCATCATCACATGCTCCCCCCTCCACCTCCCACCCCCACAAGCCACCCTAAGAGTCACAAGGCAGAGTTTCCATTAGCGTCAAACGTACGTGGATGTTGGTCCTAAAACTAGTGGGAATGCGAGGGAAGAGAACAGTTTTAGAAAATTCACATGCCTGGGGTCACATGGTGGCCAAAGACGCAGCATCCCCCAGCATGAGGTGAATGGTCCTTAGGGTGTGGACTCTGCACTTGTGTGTCGTGTTCCCCCCACCCCATCGCATAGCCACTTCAAGGAGGGGTGGTGGTGGTGGCAGATGCTCACCCCCAAATAAGATATTCTACCTGCAAGGTGCGGGACTGGAGGGTTCAATGGTCTCCAGGCCTGAAATGAGTCCTGCCCCACACGTGCTCCCAAGGCTGTGTGTCACCGGCCAAAGCAATCTGCAAGGAGTTGGGCATGTGCCCCAAGTTCAAACACTCCATATTGCCCAAGGTTTTCCTGGACGATCAGTAGAATCACCAGAGCCCCTCAAGTTCAAGGAGGGCTCTATCCAAGGATTCCTGGGTCATTTCTGCTGAAAATCAAGCCACCACAGGCAACAGCAAGCTTAGGGAATAAATGCATTGGCTCTCGGTGAGTGCTCAGGGGCTCTCTGTTCCAGGGTCCAGCCACAGCCGGGTTCACTATGGAGCTCAGGCACCTGGAGTGATAGGGTGGAGCTCAAAAAGATTTGAGGAATGGGGGAACTCACAATCCCAGGCAGCTCTCTAGCACAGGTGTGGCTGGTCAGTGTGAATAAGTCACCTTCTCCTCCACCTCCCCCGGTGGGAAATCAGGGAGGCCACTATTGCAGGGACACCCTCTTCGAGCTATTCCCCACTGCTGGTATTCCTACAAAAACAAAAACAAAACAAACAAACTAACAAACAAATCACGGATGGCTGGAAGTGAAGGCACAGGAAGTTCACCTCCAGGATTCTCTGTTATCCGGGGAATGGGATTGGAAGGAGAACTCAAGTGTGTCTGCAGACTCCACTGGGACCATCAAGATGGACACACATCCCAGTTCCACAGGGAGACCTCATCAGTGGCTCAAGTCACTGCTGCCACACTCAGGACACTCTTCTGTAACACTACATGTGGAGGCCATTCTCACGGCGGAAGACACGCAAGGCTCCTGTCTCATCAGTGAGGAGTGAGGCCTCACGCTTAGAGGTGCCCACCTGGTTACGGCGAGCCGCAAATGGAAAACCCACCTGGTACTCCGTGCCATGGCAGAGGGCTGACATGCAGGGTCCCAGACATCTGCTGACAGAAAGAGCCCTGGAGGCTTCATGATATAGCACGTGTCAGGTAGAGGCCGTTCTGTAACATGGCTGCGTGAGGCTGCCCCTTGACCAACAAGGAGTAAAAATAGTGAAGAAAAAAAAAAGGCCTTAGGGCAGATAACCAGGAACAGTTAGGAAAGTTCTGACCCAACCCATCCCTGGTCTCAAAGATCCATCCATTCCTCAGCACTGTGACGTTCTGATGAGCATTCTGGTGTCAAGCAATGGAGAAGCCACTGCCCTGCAGGATGAGACGAACAGAACCAATGCAGCCATGGCTCCTCCGTGGCTCCTACTGTGCTAGAGGAGGAAGAGCCAGCACTGTGGCAGTCAGTAGACCCCAGCTCAAGAGGCATTTTAACCAGGAATCTTCACCCAGAGTCCTGCTCTAAAGGCAAACATCAGGCTGTCTCAATCCTACCTCAGGCTATCCCTCCTATCCGGGTATCTAGCAATCCTACCAGGCTTTCAGTCAGCCTGGAGAGAATAGAGACGGAACAGACACGGAAGAGTTCCCGTGTGCACAATGGCCCCACGAGTTCTGTGTCTATAACACTGTGGAGACACTTGAGATAGCTTGGATAGGGAGGGCCGGGGACCAGGGCAAGGTGACCAGCTTCGGGCCTTCCTGAGAGCCTCCAGACCCACCATAGTCTGAGTCCATAGTCACTGCTCAGATGCAGCTGTCCCTATGAGGTCCCCCGCCACTGTGTGGTCACTACTCCATGCGCCCGAGTTGACTTCCCCTGGCCTGCTTCTTTTGTGGATGTGCCTGCTTCTTGTGCCAGCCATGATGCCACCCATGTTGGAGGCCCCACTGCTCTTGCATGTCAGAGAAAGACACTCAAGAGCATTGTCCATGGCTGCTACCCTGCCTCAGCTGTCGCCAGGTTTTGTGCCGTATACAATGTCATCTTCGGCAGCATGTTCTCTGAGCACACCACCCTGGGGTGTTGTGGAAGGAGGCACTCTCCCAGATGAGCGGGTCTCTCACCTGTGCCTCCGGACTGTTTACACACTGGGTAACACCTTCTCCCTTGTTCTGTGGCTCAGAGGTCCAGGTCAGGCCCAGGAGGACAGGACACTTCTGACAGCTCTAAAGGGACCCTGTTCCTGCCCCTCCATTGTCTGCCAGTGTTCTCCACAACCCTGGTGCCCTGCCTGGTTCATCCCACCTCAGTCTAGTTCCTGCCTCAGTTCTCACACGACCTCCCCCTGTGGGTCCAGGGTGACCTCACCTCAACCTGATCACTCCTTCCAAGGCCCTTATACCACAAAACTCCCACTCACAGGCTCAGGCGGACATGAATTTGGGCCAGTAGACCATGCTAGAAAACCTCATAGGGTGGGGCTAGAGAGATGGCTCAGTGTTGAAGAGCACTGGCTGCTCTTCCAGAGGACCTGGGTTCAAGTCCCAGCAACCACTTGGTTCACAGCCATCTGTAACTCCGGTCCCATGAGGGGAATCTGATGCTTTCTTCTGATCCCTGAAGGTATTGAACATACATGGTGCACAAACTTTATGTGCAGGAAAAACACCCATACACACCAAATAAAAATAAGAAAAATTAAAACAAAACAAAACAAAAACTCAGAGGAATAAAGAATCTGGCCCAAGTTCAGAGACTCCCATTTAGCCAGGGTCAGAGCCTGAAGCACAGCTTGACACATACCTTTCCTGGAGCAGCTATGCCGGAAGTCCAGGTAACACCATGCTGCCAGCATCCCCACAGCAGATCTATTGGCTCCATCCTGCTGGGCTCCCTCTATGACACCCTACCACCCCAGAGCTGGGAGCGTGTTCTTGATCGGTTGTTAAGAGGCAGGGTGAGATGCGTGGTATGCCATCATTTTCGTGGTAAAGGGCAAAACGTGAATACACACAAGGCTATTTATAGTTGCAAAGATGACCTAGAAAGATAAATAAGAAACTAATAAAAACAGTGGCTTGGGGCTGGAGGTAGACTTTAACTCTCCTGAACGTGCTTAGCCATAGTGGTTGGCGCCAGAATTGTGTGGATGGTCTCGTGTTTAAAAAAAAAAAAAAAATTCGGCTTTAAAACAAAGTATCCTTTAAAAAGAAAACAACAAAATAATGCTTATATGGAGTTTATGCAATAACCAAGCAGAGAAAAAAAGATTTATTTCAAATGATGTGAGAGTGGCGTTTAGATCAGGTTTTTTTTTATTTTTTTAAGTGGGGCTACATCTTCAGGGAGAAGGGAATGGAGAAGAAGCCGCACATACCACTCAAGCTACTGTCAGGGTTGACTCTGCTACTGGGGTTTCCCCTCCTTGTGCAAAATCAACAGTTCTGAGAAGGTCCCACAATTAATATTGCCTGAGAAAAGCGTGCCCGTGCAGGATCTAATCGATTAAGTAGCAAAAGAGAATTGTACGTGTGAACCGGACATGGAATGTCACCGTTGAACGCAGAACTTTCATTTTCTTGTTCCTGAGGAGGCTGGGAGCACGGGCCACTCGGCAGCCAGGAGGCTGAACAGGTCTCTAACCCACCTGCCTGGGGAGGACTGATTCCAGATCAAAGGTAGAGAATGTGTGTGCCCAGGATTTTGGGTTATGCCAAAAGTTAGGGAAGAAACAGAAACTGTATAGAGGTCATGGCCAGGGCATTGAAGCTGAGGAGACCTTCTCTGGCAGTCAGCTAGGACACCCCAGATACCCTGCCTGCAACTGGTTCAAATATATTTAATTCGGAGAATTACTTCCAGGACCAGGTGTGACTTAGTGATTGTGCTTGCCTAACAAGTGGTGGGCTCTGGGTTTTACTCTCAGAATATACACACAGACACACAGACATACACACACACAAGCACACATATGTGTGTGTACCCATTCATCCCCATGATACTGAAAAGTAGTGGGAAAGATTCATCCTCACTTGTGACCATTGGAGATAATTTCTGTGCCAACTCCTCACTCTGAAAATTGCTAATTAAGAGGGGGGAACCATGCATTTATCTTATCCTTCTGTATCTTGTAAGTTTGGAGTGGATGATATGCTCAGTTCCTCTTTGTGAGTAGTTGGTTAACAAATTCAGGGTAGGTATAGGAAGTAGAGATTCCCCCCTCTGCGAGCCCCCAGGAAGCTGTCACTCAGGTAGGTATCCATCACCAATCACTGGTTGGCCTCAGGTCACTAAAAAAAAAGTGTCTCTGGGAAGTTAGATGGCACTGGCAGAGCAGAGTACCTCACCAAGTGACCACTATGTATATTAACTGGGCTGGTGTCAGCATTTGTGGAAGGGAGGGTGTCTCCAGAGCCACACCATGCCAATGATGTTTTCCTTTGCCGCACAGGGAAGTGGAACAGTGCCACCAGTCAGCAGCACTGCCTGCAAACAGAGACATCTCAAACAGGGGTTTTGCTTCGTTTCTTGGATAGGCCTTAGCCCAGAAGAAAGATGAAGGAGAATCGATCTAGATTTAAAAGGAAATTAAGAGACACAAAGAATTGGGACCTTGTAACACCAATCAAACCAACCACCTGTGGAAAAGTACTGGGGGGAACTGTAGTAGTTTAAATGAGAATGTCCTCCATCGTCTCAGGCGTCTGTACACTTGGTCTCCACTTGGTGGCGCTGTCTGGGGAGGTTTAGGTGATTACAGCCTTCCTGGAGAAAGGACATCACTGGGGGCAGGCTTTGAGAGCAGAAGACCCACCTGCTTCTGTGTCTCTTTCTGCTTCATGCTCAAAGTTCAAAGTGTGAGCTCGGTTCCTGCTTCCATGCCTGCCGTCCACTGCCATGCCATCCCCCATTATGGACTCCGATGCTCCAGAACCACATCAACTCTTTCTTCTATGGCTTGTCTTGATCAGGTTGGTTTATCACAGTAACAGGGAAGTCATCAATAGAGGGACCATGGGAAATTTAAGTGTGGGCCAGTATGGAGTGGCACCTTCCTTCCTTTTCCTGGCACTGTAATAATATTCTCTGACAAATTGTCTAAAAGGAGAAAGGGTTTATCTCGGTCCACAGTTCAAGGGCACCAGCCGTCACAGCAGCAGGAGCCTGAGGCATCCACAGTCAGGATGCAGAGGAGTGCTGGTGTTTAGTTCACTTTCTCTTTTTCTGTACCCTCCTAGATCCCCGCCCAGGGAATGGTCCCTCCCACAAGGGAGATGTGCCTTCCTGCTTCGCTTAACCTAATTAAGAGAATCCCCACAAGCATGCCCAGAAGCAGCCTGACCCAGATCACCCCTCACAGGTGTGCTAACAGTCTGTCTCCCGTGTGAGTCTAGACCATGTCAAGCCGACAGTTAACACTAACAATCCCAACCCCTCTCCTGTCAACTTGACACCCAAACACATCACTTTTAAGCCATAACCTCCCACCCCTTGTCCTCTTAGATTTATGGCCCTCTTAATAACGTCAAATTCATCCAGTCCAACATCAAAGTCCCCCAGTGAGTATCTCCTCCAACAAAGGCTGCACCTAATCCTCCCCAAAACAACCCCCAATCAGGGACCAAGTATCAAATGCCTGAGACTTATGGGGAGGGGGAATCTCCTTCAAACTACACTTCCAACATGTAACCATACAGGACAAACATTCCTATTCCAAAACAGAGGATTGGAGGTACAGCAATAAATTACCAGCCAGCCCCAAGCAAGACTAAACCCCAGCAGAAAAACCACTGAATCCTGCAGCTCCATGTTCAGCATCGGAGCTTGGGCTCCAGAAAGTTTAGACAACCCCACCCCTCCAGCTCTGCTGCCTGTCAGACAGACACATGGATTCTGTCCTGGAATGACCCATTCCATGCCCACAGTTCTTCACAAATATCCATGGTCCTGACACCTTCAGTATCCTGGGGTTTCCAACTGCAGCCTGGGCCTCACCTCACAACTTCATGTAATGGCCTCTCAAAGCTTCCTCCTCTCCATTCTAGGGCAGCCACACCCTGCGCGCATGCACACACACACACACACACACACACACACACACACACACACACACACACTTTAAAAGACCATGAAAAGGAGAACATGTTTCTGCCATGTCCACCATATCCATCCGCTTGCTGCTACTTTACTGGGAAAGCCACAGGAAGCTTGTGGGGACAGGAACTGGAAGCTTGGTCACTTCATGGGTCACATGAAAACACAGGCAGAATGATGGGCACACTGGTCTGATCACACCATGAGAAGTGACGTCCGGTGTTTGTTGTCTCCTGCAGCTTAGTGGGCACCTGATGTCCCCTCTGCATGCAAGGGAGGCCCTCGGAAGAGCGCGGGTGCTTGTGTTCTATAGGAATTGAGTTCTTGCACCCGGGGGTAGAACTGGTCGATTGGAACCCACGCAGGGTCGGTACCAGGCTACAAGGAATGCAAGCAACCTACCCTTGGGTTGTCAAGGGTGGAACCCCAACCTGTATCTCAGGGTGCACGGGAGGTGGGACCACTCCACCGTCCCTTGCAGTGTTGACCCAAGCCCAGTCCTGGTCTACGTGGAAGCTGTCTCTAAATTCTCCTCACTCATACAAAGTCAGTAGAGAGGAGCTTAGAGACCATCTTCAGTCTCTTGGCTGTGGGGTTTTCCCTGTATGCCCCCCTCAAGTGTCCCTTCCTCTGACCAGTCCATCAGAAGTGACACTAGGCACTGTTTCTGTCTCCCACTCAGGGTTCTCCACGCAGGCAGAGCAGTGCAGTGGTCCAGGACATGAGCTGGGGTTCCATTCTGCCTCCTTATCTGAGGTGTTACTCACCTCATCTGTGATCTGCTTTATGCTATCCGAGATGAAGCAGTTGTCGCTCTGCAGAGTGGCTTAGGGTGGAATGGATGCTGGGGTTCTCGTCAGAGCCGGATCTGCTTTGCATGCTAATGGGAACTCAAAGAGAGGAAGGACCCAGCACTTGGCCCAGAATCTATGGTTAGCAGCCTCCCACCTGCTTCACATGTTGAGATAGACCAGTGTTCCCCACAAGGACATACATTTTAGGGTCACTGGTCCAGAGCAATGCTCCCTCTTTCCACTTGCAGAATAGAAGGCAAGTGTTCACGGGAACTCTGCAAACGTTTCCTGTGTGTCTGCCTTTCCAGGCCACCTGCCAGTGATGCAGAGCTGCTGGCCTGGACCCAGGTGGGCACGGGGCAAGCACAGGCCTGCATTTCCTGAGGAGAAGGCTGGTGAGCATCGCCCTAGTTAGGAGCCACACACACCTTACAGGGACAGGCCTTGTGTGCATCCTCCTTGTCCTCACAGGACACACATGGGCTGCCCTTGAGGCCCATACGGACAAGTGAGACCGTTGGTGAGTCACGGAGAAGGCAGCAAGCATGCTTCTGAGTAACCAGGCCCCTTCCCAGAAAGAAGGGGGTCTTCCTGGGCGAGCTGCCGCGATGGAAACTGTCCAGCTCCACGGGCAGCCTGCTGTCTTAATGACTGGCATGTGGCTGCTCAGCAGCCAAGCAGGCTGGCTGTGAGCGCAGAGCCAAGAACAAAGCGGGCCATTAAAAGGCAGCGCAGAAGCTCCCACTGCAGGCTGCGGAGCTGGAGCAGATGGAGGCGGGCTGCGTTTCCAGGCCTCACAAGGAACATCAAGGGCCGTGTAGCAGTCTGCCACCCAGGACTAGACGTCTGGGACTTCAGCGGCCAGAGACTGGCCAGTCCCAGCAGGCTGCAAAGTCAGTCTGCAGAGAAAACAGATGGTGTGATTTATCTCCAGACCTCCCCCACTGTAGAGGTTCGGAGGGCCATCCCCTCCACAGCTCTTCCCTTCTCTGCACTGCCATACCCCCTCATTCATTCATTCACCCACTCAGCTCACTGACTCACTCATTTCCTTACTCAACTCTATCGTTCATGCATTTCTTCGCTCACTCACTGATTCAATTCACACATCCATTTACTCACTCAGGAAGCTTTTGATCAGCATTTACTATGTACCAGGCGCTGTCTGGAATGCTAGGGGAACCTTAGAAAACCAGCTATCACCCCATCTTCAAACGTTTGCCAGTCCAGAGCAGGCCCTGGGAAGCCAGGGAGCCAGGGAGCCAGGAGTGAAAATAACAGTGTGTAAGAAAATGACAGACAGAGCAGACGGTATAAGTGGCTCTTGGCCTAGGGGACCACAGGGAAAATGGAGACTTATGGCCAGAGCACCCAGAGGAGGCAGCTAGGCCTTAAACCTAGTCAAGGATCTTGCCATTTTCCCAGAAAGACAAAAATTAGAATTTTTTTACATCAACTCTCAAAATGTCAATATTGGCCTTTAATCCACCAACTTTTATTTATTTGTTTTTGTTTTTTCAAGACAGGATTTCTCTGTGTAACAGCTCTGACTGTCCTGGAACCTCTTTGTAGACCAGGCTGGCCTTGAACTCACAGAGATCTGCTTCCCATATGCTTTGCTGGTGAGTGACTGGACCTCTAGTTTCAGCCTTCAGTAGATACACATGACTACCAGAAGGGAAGATATGGTCAATGACCTCGGCTGAAATGGCTGTGGGAGTTCTGAGGGCCCGATGCTCTTCTGTGTATGAGTCTCCAAGGTTGGAAAAGCTTGAGGCCTAGGCCACTGGTAGGCAAAAATCTACCATTGGAGCAATATGAGGTCGCCAGACAGTAAGAGCCAGAGTGACCCCAAGGAGGTCATAAGGGTCTGACCCAAGGTTGGATGGGGAGAGAGATCTCCCCAGCAATGGTCATCCAAGAACCAAGGGCATGAGTTGGCACCATGGGGCAGATGTCCGGGGCAGACACCTAGAATTATATTATCATACCTTGTAAGCTGGGTATATCAGTCAGTTTGGGCTGTGTAACAAAGCACACCAGCCCCAAGCCACAGGAAAACCTTGTCCCACAGCTCAGAAGACCAAAATCAGAGACTGAGGCATTAGTGTGGCCAGAATCACACTCTGGCTCAGGCTTCCCAGCATTCAGCAGCCTCTGTCCTCCAGGCATCGTCTCCTGTGTCCATGTGTGTTCCTCCCTCTCAGGTCCAGACTTTCCTGCTGGTAAGGATGCTAGTCCTATGGGGCCCCCTGCTGAGCTCGTGGGAACCACATTTCCACAAAGGCCTGTGTCCAACTGAGGTCATCCAGTGACTGGGGTCAGGAATTCAGCATCATGTGGAGGAGGCTTCAGTCCACTCCTTACTCCATTCCTCCGGTGCTCCCGGCCCTCACCCTACTCCTCCTCCTCACAACTCCATGCGAGCATACAGCTGCCCTTAATCTTCAGTCTGTGAGCTGCGAGCTGTGAGTGTGGCATCTGGTCCCCTCCGCTGCTCACTTCTCTGCGTTAGAGCTGAGAGGACATGTATATCCTTCTCATTTTCCCACTCACTCTAGTGGGCGCCTTGCCATGACCTGATAGTGCCCGGAGCTTCTCTTCTCTGCCGTGGGAGCATGCATAAGTTCATGTGCCTCTGCATGTGGTTAGCACAGCAACCACACAAACTGATGAAGAGTCTTGGGAGCATCTACCTGCCTTCCTCTGGCCATGGGAGAAGCAGCAATGCTCCCTGGACACATGTACATACATAAATTGGATCCTTTGAAACAAGAGCTGCAGATTTCACTGTGTGCCCCTTTACCTGTGTGTGCCCTGACTTGTTGATATTCTGGAAGTACCTGAAAATTTCAACCTCTAACTGATGGAGCCTGACATAAAAAAAAAAAAAAAAAAAAAATTCTTATTATAATGGAAGACCCCCTCCCAGATGCCAGTGCTGGGTGTGGGTGACAGGCTGGCCAACCCTCCACCAGCCCAAGCATCTGGAATGTATTGTGCCCACTGGAGCGGGGAGAGAGCTCACACTGGACAGAGTTTCAGCTGTCTCAGGTCCAGGACTGTCATCATCTAATCTCTAGCCAATCAGCACCCAGGCCTGGGATGGAAGACAGGCAGCCTCCTTCTCACGCCGGCTGTATCTGCAGAGATGATCTGGGAGGTTTGGCACGGGAAGGGAAGGCATAAGCAGAGCCATCAGAGGCCTCCAGCCACAGAGACACAGCCAAGGATTACATCTCGTTCCCACTCCTTATCACCACCTAGATTGAATGTCAATGCCGCACGGAAAGGGACATCTCCTACCTCTGGACTTATCTTGACTATTAACTGACTCTAAAATGTCCCCCAAGTTCATCTTGCTGCTGAGTAGAACATTTTGTCCACTTAGAACGTGTCAGAAAGAGTCCTGCAACCCTTCAGACAAGGGTTCCCAGGAAGGGGGCCAGATTTGGACAGCTCAGAACTGAGAGAGATACAGCGAGGTACTGGCGTCATCGTGGGATGGCTACCCTGAGCTCAGGTGGTAGCCACTGGCCCTGATGCCCAAGCCAACCACTCAGCCCAACTCACATCAGTTCGGCAAACAAACCTCAAGTTGATGGTTCCTAGTATTGCTGGAGAGGCAGGTCACACACCAGAAGGAATTGGGACAGTTGTGATTTTTAGGAGCTTGTGATATTAACTTAGCAGAGATGGGATCTAGACAGTGAGTGACAGAAGAAGAGGGTGCCCTATTGGTATCCATGTCCAATATCCTTGAGATAACCAAAAGCGTGAAAACTCCCAGCACCCCCTGCTAATAATAAGAACCCCAGCCTCTGGGTGAATGTGCTACATTCAGATGACAGACCCTAGATCATGACCTGGTGAAGAAGGTTCTAGGGGCTGGAATGCAAGAGCCTTGATAGCTGTTCAAGTAGTCAGTTTGGTCCATAGGCATGGTCTCTAAATGACAGACCCATAGGCCACATGTGTCCAAGGGTAGCTATGAACTAGGGCCCAATACAATATTATAAACTAGCTTAAAACATTATGAGATGTGTGTTTTGTAAGTCAATTGTGTGGCTCCTGAGTATGAGTTTTATAGATGGTGACATCAGGGTCTCGGTGTCAAAGGCTGGACACGCCTGAATGCAAGAATTCAAAGTGTTCCGCGCTGCAGTAATGTGGTCTGCATCCTGACTTTGTATCTGAGTGTATTGTCATATAGTCTCCTAATTTTAGCTGGGGACATTCCTTAACTCTTACAGACTAGGGGTGACTGTGCGTCTCAATACTGATCAAGACATTTTAAGTGGAAGTACTGTGGCTTCTCTCCAGAAGTCATGCTAAAGGGGAGGACTGCATTGCCTGCTCTGGACTGATTCTTGTTCTCAACCCTGAGTTCACACTGAGCCTACTCCTGAAGGAAGGGTGTTGGGGAGGGCAGGTTGGAAGATGTCTGCAGTAGATGGGGGCATGAGGGTGGGTCCCCATGATGGGGTCAGTGCCACCCTTGCCTGTGAAGCTCTACCATGGGAAAGGGACCAACCATTCACAGGCAGAAGAGGTTCACCCTAGTACTGGCCACCCAGGCCCCTGACTTTGGACCTCAGCCTCCAGGACCCTTTGGCCACATCCCCGTGCTATGGTAATCCAGTCTCCACAGGATGTAGGATGACATTTGTCCATTGTGAACTCAAGATGACAGAAAAGGAGGACTGAACACTCTATGAGACATCTAATGATAGAGCAGATATCTAATGGCGTGGAAAATGCTCACAATGTAACATTAAAAAAGAGAGAGAGAGAAGCACAAAATAGGGCAGAGGCTAGTTGGGCAGCTTAAGAACCTTTGTACAGGCCCAGGGCTGGGTTGTGGGAAGCACCCTCGAAAAACAAAGGCCAAGGCGTCATCTCTGAAACAGGAAGAACATTCTAGAACAAGAAGGAGGGTTCACTTCTCATAACATTGTCCTGAGAATCCACACCAACCAAGACTGTACTTTCCAGAATGTTCCAGAGGAAGGGAAGCCCACAGTAGGGTCTAAGCCTTAGGGCCCATCTATAGCCTCCCTGCTTCTAAGAGATAATGAGGAGCTGGACTGGCTCCCTGTGATCCTGTGGTCTAGCTGGGCTGTTGGGTCTGCAGTTTTGGTGACCCTGGGTCCAGCCTGGGTTCCTCAGTTCATAGTCTTCATAAGTCCTAATGTTTCAGAAGCCTGGATAGAGCATGAAGGTAGCCAAGTCCTCCACCCTCTGGCATCTCCTAGACACCTGGAAAAGACAGGACTGTGGCATCACCGCCATACAGCCACAGTCCACATTCATCCTGTCCTTGTAAGAGCAGCTCAGACTCCAGCCGGTGAACATCTCCTCAACCCCAGAGCTAGACACACCTCAAACAGGCTGGGTGAGCCCCAAGAAGGCAACGGAAGCCTAAGAAGCCATATCCCTGGGTGCAGAGCAAGTGAGGACCAGAGGGGCCACCATGCATGCAGTGCCTAGGAGAAGTGGGTCCCCTACGGAGAAGTGGCCACTTTCCGTAGGCAGCAACTAGGCTGTCCAGGCCATGGCCCAAGCTCAGGAGGACTGTCGTCACCAGTGCCGCCCGAGAGACTCCAGCAAAGACACATATCTGTGTTCTGTGGGGGTCACGGAGCAGCCTTGGGAGCTGACTGGACCCTTCCAGGGCCCCACTCTCCCACAGGCCATCTTTACCGTTGGCCCAAAGCTTAGCTGACTTGGTGTCGATTGGTTTTTCCTACCCCCACATAGTTAAGTTCTGCCTGTGCATTTGGGGTGCCGAGCGGCCTCCTGGCACCCACCTACTGGAGAGTGTCAACACCCCAAGTTGTGACAACTGAAGCTATGCCAATGTCCTGGGGTCCAGGTTGCTCTGGTTGATAACTAGGTGAGGCACAGACCGCTGGCTGGATGGGGTGGGACAGGCACTGTACACATCCCAAGCTGTTCCAGACCGAAACCTAACCTGAAGCTTGCGGGTTTGGGGACACGGGTAGGGCCTCAAAGGAATCAGGAAGAAGAGGTGGGAGAGAGGGCAAGGCCGGAGAACCCAGCAATGTCTGTCTGTGGGGTAAACGAGAAGCTGACTGAAGGACACAAGAAGGAAAGGCTGCCAAGAAAATCCCTCGGGTCTGCAAAGGGCTTGACGAATGCTTATTTGCACAGGATGGCTTGCGTCTGAATGACTGAGGCTTTGGGGCTGCTACATCTGTGAGGTCCCTGGGTAAGGGAAGGGACCAAAAGAGAGCAAACTGTTCCAGGAACAACCCTAGAGGCACAGGTCCACCTGCTCAGAGGTGTGTCTCCCCCATCTGACACAAGACCAGGTGTGAGGGGCTCAGGGAGGAGGCACCTGCTGGGTGCCATCGGCAGTCGAATGGCTCCTCTAGGGCTCTTGGTGTGTCCTTGGCATGGCGGGGGCGGGGCCTGCTCCACTGGGAGACACCTTAGGCACAGTCTTGACACATATCCCTAATCCCGTAGGCCATGCCCATCATGATATGCACCCTCACCTCGATTTCCCACTGCCGTGGGCTGAATGGTGCACCGGCACTAATCCCTGTCCATCTGGGATGGAGACACAGAATTCCACCCGGGTAAAGCGGTGTGCAGACGAGCTGTGGCTGAGGGCCTAACAGTGAGCATCCTGGACTGGCGTGGCCTCTAAATGCAGTGCTGTGGTGGCTGCTGACACTGTGACTTTGTCCTCCAACTTCTTTCTTTCTTTTATTTGTTTATTATTTAATTGTTGCTTGTTGGTTGGTTTTCCAAGACAAGGTGTAGCCTTGTGTTTTTCAAGGGTGTAGCCAGCCCTAGCTGTCCTGGAACTCTTTCCATAGATCAGGAGGCTTCGAACTCAGAGATCTGCCTGCCTCTGCCTCCCAAGAGCTGGGGTTAATGGGGTGAGCCACCATGCCTGGCTTGGCCTCCAGCTTCAGAGAAAACACATTTCTGATGTTTACAACACACAATAATAATGGTACTGTGTCCCAACAGCCCCAGGGCACTCACTTCAACCCTCTCGGGGGTACTGGCATGTCCAGGCGCCACTCCACACACCTTCTTCTATACCTGCTCCTTGTGCTTGACAGTAGTAACCTGTAGTTTTTGCTCATGAGGCAACCTCATATTTGTCTTTAACTTTTATTTTGTATATACTTTTTAAAATAAACTTTAGTATTAATAAAAAAAAAAAAGAAGAAGAAAAACTGTAGCCTGGTGGTGGTGGCACACTCCTTTAATCCCAGCACTTGAGAGGCAGGCGTCTCTCTGTGAGTTCAAGGCCAGCCTGATCTGCAAAACAAGTTCCAGGGTAGTCTGGGCTGTTACACACAGAAACCCTGTCTTGAAAAGAAAAAACTAACTAAATAAATAAATAAATAAACTGTAAATAAACACACACACACACACACACACACACACACACACACACACACACACATACACCACATCAAATTAACCAGACTCGTTCTTTTTTAATCATGGTTTTATTCCTTTTGTTTTGTGGCCATGCTTGTGTTGGGGGGGGCACACATGCCCAGTGCACATGTGGAGGTCAGAGGACGATTTGAAGGGGTCCAGTCTCTCTTCCCACCATGGAGGTTGGTGGGGTTGGGTGGGTGGAGCTCAGGTCAACAAGCTTGGGGTCAGCTCCTTTACCCGCTGAGCCATCTTGCAGCTGCCCAACACTAATTCCAGTCCTCGGGGTTCATCACAGGTTTGACTGAGCTTTTCGTGGGACACACAGAAGAAGCTGCTTCCAGCTTTGTCCTGTGCCGGGCAAGGCTCACTGTGGGAATATATATCCACAGGGAACTTCCCAGAGACAGAGCCCCAGGCTGAACTCATTCTAAATTCTCAGACCTGCTGCAAAGTTCCTGGTGGAAATGCCTTTCTCTTCATCCTGGTTGCGAGGCAGTTGAGTACTTTTTTTTTTGCTTGTTTGTTTGTTTGTTTTTTCAGACAGGATGGTGTCTAGGCTGGCTTAGAACTCACCATCTAACTCAGGGAATGACTCGGGTCTTCTGGTATGCTTATGGCTTTGAAATTCATAGTCAAGTCTGCAGTGAGCCACCTCAGGAGGATACACAAATGACTGGAATATATTACGCGAATAGGCAATGTCACCTCCCTTAGTTCCAACAGTCAGACACTTTTTTGGACCCATCTCTGGCCCCTCTGCTCACTTAACTTCTCTGTGAACTGGTCTTTCAGCCTCTGACTCTTGAGTGCTGGGATTGGCTCTCCCCGTCAAGCCCCATATGTGTGTACAGGGGATTGAACACAGGACTTCTTATGGGTCAGGCCAGCCAAGCCAAGTCCTCTCCCCAATTTCTTTTTTATTTTCTTTCTCTTGTAGTCCAGGGTGGCCTAGGACTACTCTGTAGCCGAGGATTACCTCAGACTTCTGATCCTCCTGTCTCCATCTCTCAAGTACTGAAATTAAGGTATGTGCCACCATGGCTGGTTTATTCCGTGCCAGGGATCAAACCTAGGAGTTGGCGAGTGCTGGGTGAGAACTCTGCCCAATGAACTGCATCCTACCTCTCCGTCTGTGCTTCTGTCACTGGGTTTCAGCATCTCTTCTCTGAGCACTTCAAGAAGAGGGTCTAGAAACCGTCCTTCCTGCCAACGATTCACAGCCACCTACATAGCAGTGCTGGTGCCCCTCGGGATGTGGGAGGAATCACTGGTAAAGTCACCAGGTCCTGGAGCCATTTGTAACTTGGTGACAATCCTGGCCTCCTAGCCCTCAACACCCCAGCCAAGCTCAATGTCTGCCAGGTGGGCACAGTGCGGATTGAGTTCACTCACACGCAAGCACAATAAGGGTGTGTTGTCTGTAGAGAACTACAAAACTATTACTTTTTAGAGATGTCAGCTCTAACCCATTGGGAACACCATTCTCCTGAGTTCGGCCCTGTACCCCACCACCTTGCCCAGCAAGCCAGCTGACTCAAGTCATGCCAATATCCCCCTAAGAGTAAGAAGACACAAGAACAAGGAGTTTCCTTCAAATTGGTTCTTTGGCGCTACTCCAAAAAATATTAGGGAACCATCCAGAGAAACCCCAAACCATAAACAAAATTTAAGCATGGCAGTTCCTCATGCAATTAAATATAGACCCATCTGATTTAGCAATTTCACTTCCGTTCCCCCAAAGAACTGAAAGCAGGAACTTGAAGAAGCATCTGGATGGCATGTGTTTACGGTGCTGCTGGTCAGTGGAGTCACACAAAACCAGAAGCGCTGAGGAGTCATCCACAGGTGAGAACAGATACTACCTGCTCCTGAAAGAGAGAGAAATTCTGACGAGACAGGCCTGAGCCTTGGGTGAAAGACGCTGCAAATTCACGAGAAGTCCGTAGAAGCCAGTATGGCTGTCATGGCTGTCGTCCCAGTACTGGTGAGATGACAGGAGTATCAGAAATTCAAGATCACTCCTCATCTACACAGCGAGTTGGAGGCCCAGCCTAGAGTGCAGGAGACCTTGTTTCAGAAAACAAACAAGAGTCTTCAGGGCCAAATTGGTAGAGACAGAAAGCAGAAAGGTAGGTACGAGGACCAGAGAGGGCACCCAAGAGATTGTTGTTTAGTGGGGACTAAACTTTAGTGTGGACAGATGGGAAGTTGATGGCAGTGACCACTGTCCAATATTGAGCATGCTCAGAGACACCACTAAGAAATCATTAAAACGATAAATTGTGTGTGCTTGTGTGGTGCAAACACGTACGTGGAGGACAGAGGTCAACTCTGGTGGCTTCCTCAATCACTTGTAACCTTATTTTTAGAGAGGATCTCTCATTGAACCTAGAGCTTGCCGAATGGGCTAGGCTGCCTGGCCTGTGAGCTTGTGTGGCAAGTGCATTAATCACCAAATCTCACCAGCCTTAAAATGGTAATATATAGAGACAAGAGTGAACCAGGGTCAGAGTGGAGGCCTTCTGGCTGCAGACTGTGCCTGGGGGCCATCTCTTCGGCTACTTGTGTACCCTCTGCTGGACTCCAGCCAGACAAGGACTAAGAAGTGTTCCAGCCTGGCCGCTTGGCTCTAAGTGGCCCACGGTGGTCCCAGTCATGTGCTGCCAGGATGAACCTTCCTTCTGGACCTTTCCATGACACAGTCTTAACAGAAGCTTCATACTGAGTCATTCTTGATTTACTCATGAGCTTAACTCCAAGGTCACTGGGCTTACTCTATAGCAGGAAGCCCTAAGAATTGGGATGATTCCTGCCAAGTGTCGGGCCGGCTGCAGGAGAGCCTGGCTGAACTGGGGAATGGCCTTCCATGTAGAATATCAGTACCTCTGACAGTCCCTAGAGAGGCCATCGACCAGGCTTCCTTCATTGCCCAGGACCCCACCTGCAGGTAGAGATTTACACAACGGAGCATTACTCAGCTGTTACAAAATGGCATCGTGAAATTTGCAGGCAAGTGAATAGAACAAGAAAAACCATCCTGACTGAGGTAACCCAGACCCAGAAAGACAAATTTGATACATATTCGCTTGTATGTGGGTATTAGCTGCGAAGAGATTCAACTCATCCCCACCCTGGGCCTTATGTGCTGTGAGCTCACAGGACCTGCAGCTCACTCAGATCCAAGTACCTGCTGTGGAGGGTAAAACATACTGAGTAAGCACCGAGATGCCTACAGTACTCCTCCCTGAGGCTGGGATCAATGCCCTCCACTGCCCAGCCTCTCCTCCCTGTCCTGCTTTGGGCAGGACCTGATCTTCTGGTATATTCTGATGGCCAGGTAATAGACCAGCTGGCTGGGCACAGTACATTGGCCATGACAGTGCAGTAGCACTCTGATAGATTTGGGGGTGACAAACTGGGTCCCCATGGCAGGATGTCACAGTTAGCACAAGCAGATGACTGCCTGTCCATTGCCACTCCCCCCAGCAAGGCAGAGTTGACATGAGGCAGAGAAGTTTTGCTCTGCTGTGCTCAGAGCCAGCTGCCAGTTTCAGTGGTGGTTTGTGCCCTTCCCTTTTCTGAGGATGGGGACATTTGCATTCCTGGGTACAGCCTGTTCAGTTTCTGCTCCCTCCTGGGCCTCCAGCTGCATCAGCTTCCACCCTACACGAGAGAAAACCAGTTTCAATGGGTGGGGTACTGGTCCCTCCTGGCAGCCTTTGGAGCCCTGGGGAAAACCCCAGCTGGAAGAGCATTAGAATCCGTCAGTTAACCCTGCCAGGTGCTAGGGCCTATTGTCCTTAGAAAGGAGGCAGCGGATGGGTCCCTAAGGTCACATCTGGGACACACACAGCCCTGCCCTCCCACTGTGTGCTACCAAGTGCTTTGTGGGGCAGATACTGCAGCTTCCTGCCCAGCTGCCCAGCCCAAGCTCACTGGGAAGCAGGCACCCTTGTAGCGGAGACTCTCTATTTCACCCACCTAGGCATGGATACCTCTTAGGGAGCTTTGATATCCAGGAGTGTACCTTCATAGAGATGGACTTCGAGGGGATGCTGGGCTCTGGAGCAGGTCACCGCCAAAGAAGAGCAAGCATGTGATATTGGGTGGCCCAGGATAAGGTTTGGGCTTGAAAGATTTCTGGAAAACCAGGCTATTACCATGGAAAACCTATCAGCATGGATGACGTTGTATCAACCTCATGAATTCACAGCAGGGCTGATGGGAAGAAGTGAGGGGTATCTCTGGGCTTTACTGTAGGGTGCCCTGGGGTGGGCTTGCTTTTTTCTTTTATGCCCATTCATCCATCAAGCACCCCTGACTCCCAAGGTCAATGAGAATGCATTCAGGCCTGTCCAACCTCCCTTATCAGCAGCTCAGCCTTCCATGGGGCAGGTGTAGTTGTCTCAGGTGACCATTTCCACACACCAGCTGTGGTCCAGGTCGGTCTGGATGGAGGCAGCCAACTCCAGGATACAGCTAGAGGGAAGTCACATCATTTTCTAGATTTGAAATGAGTTGGGGAGATAAGGCTACCCCACCCAACCGTGGTGTCTGTGAGGAGATGGCCCCTCTCCTACAAGCTCAGCTCTCCATCCCAGCTGAGGACAGATGGTGCCACCTCCATTACCTGGAGTGACACTATGCGTCTCAAGAAGTTCTTGGGTCTCAAAAATCAGCAAGGAGTGGATCTCGCTTGTGGAAGGAGGGGACAGCAGACTGAGAGGTGCCAAGAGCCAGGAGTCCCAGAGCTACCTCACGGGCCTTCCTTCCCCCTCTTGTGAAGGTAGAAAGTGACTCTGGGGGATGGGGAGAAGGAAGAGAGAGATGGGGGAGGAACCACTGGTTGCTATGGCAGTGGTCCTTGGTTGCTGAACCCAGAAGGTGAAGACACAGGGCATCTTTGGACAGGAGGAAGGGGGTAAGTGAAGACAGCTATGGAGAAGGGCATGAGCCCGCCCCAGGCCACCCACCACAGATGGGTGGACCCTATGGGTTAGGATCTCTGAAGCAGTAGGAGTCCTTCAAGGCAGGCAGAGCCAAAACTTGACAGCATCCTAGGGCCACGTAAGACCTGTTTCACCTCATCCACCTCATGAGAGGAGCCAAGAGCTGGGAGTCCCAGAATTACTCCATGGGCATTCCTTCCGTCTCTTGTGAATATAGAGAGTGACTGTGTATGTAAGTGTCTCCTGTGACACCCCACCCCTCCATACATACATACCTGTTCAATCTCCGGAGGGTCACTCCATCCAGCTGTCACCCCCAGGGGCCTTCCCGGCCCCACCTGTCCCTTATTGCCACCCTTTCCCAGACTCAATGCAGCAGCTAACCTGAGCTCTGTGAGGTCCCTGCAGGAGCCCAGGGCCAGGCACATGGAGGCCTCCTGCCACCAAGTTGATCGGATAGAGGGTGTCCTGTTTTCTGTTGCTGTCATAAAAAACACCCTGACAAGCCCAGCGTGGTGGCACACTCCTTTAATCCCAGCACTCGGGAGGCAGAGGCAGGCCGATCTCTTTCTTGTCAGTTCGAGTCCAGCCTGGTTTACAAAGCGAGCTTCAGGACAGGCAAGGCTGTTACACAGAGAAACCCTGTCTCGAAAAAACAAAAAAACAAACAAAACCCACCCCAGCAAAAGCGATTTAGTGGGGGAAGGGTTTGCTTTAGCTCACAGTTCCAGGCTACGGTCCATCACAGCAGGAAGTCAAGATGGTGGGGGGGGGTGGGGTGGGGACTTGAAGCAGCTGGTCTCATCCATGGTCAAGAGCAGAGAATGCATGCTTGCATGCCTGCACTCGGCTCACTTTCTCCTGTTTTGTATAGTCCATGACCCAAACCCAGAGAATAGTGTCACCCACTTTTAAGCTCAATTAACATCATCAAGACAGTTGCCCGCAGATGTGCCCACAGGTCAACCTACCTGATCTGGACAATCCTCCACTGAGACTCTCTTCCCAAGTTATTCTAGATGGCATCGCATTTGCAGTAAAGACTAACCGCCGCAGGTGGATGATTGGATGAGTGAGAGCGTGCATCAGCTTCAGCATAAACACTGGCTGGCCACCACAAGAACTCCCACCAATCCCCACAGGAGTTGCAGGGAAACTGGATCTAAGAGTGTCCTCAGAAGTGTGGCAGACATTTCAGAAGCAAGCAGCCATTGACCTTCCCCAGGACGGACCCACCTACCCCCCAACTCAGAAAGTGGGGAGCTGTCAGCTCTGCCCTGGGTGAGAGGGGTCCCAAGACCACCCACAGCCTCACTCGAGGACTGTGCCCACAGAGGGCGTGGACCAGAGCCAGCCAGCTAGACCCACAAGATGACCACAAAGCAGCTGCCACTGATAGCTGTGGCAACTGGTGGCCGGCAGTACAAATGGCTCTGGGGATGACAGAAGGAAGTGGCTTCAGGCTCGGCCTTGTACAGGGCTCTTCTGGAAGGGGGGTAGCGTGACATCCTAGATGTCCCTCGAGAGAACACAGTGGGGACTGGGATCACACACCTGCTAAAGCCTCCCATTTGCATCTGCCTGGAATTGCTGGACAACCTAGGGACACAGGCAACAAGACAGAGAGGAGAGGGCCTGATGTCCTCAGCTCTTGGGAGACAAGTGCCTCACAATTGGCTGCAAGGCCCTGGCAGGCAAGGCCATGTGATGGCCCCTGCAAGCGCTGCAGGGCAGGCTGCCTCTGGGGGCCCTGGGATGGCTTGGTTTGTGATTTTTCCAGAGTTGGGGCTTCTGCTAATTCTAGCTTTCCTCCATGTCTGCCTGTACTTAGATGTCCACTCCAGCGATGCTCACGGCTGCCTAACAGATCCAGCAGCGGGATATCACAGCGTCTTCTGAACACTGAAAGCTCTCCATTCCATTTCTTATCTTTCCTCCCTCTTCCAGAAGACTCCCGCAAAAATGTGATCTTATCAAAGCGGTTCTTATTGACTTTCTCCGAATCTGACTCTTCACCTGCTGAAAAGCCAGCCTCCCCTCCCTGTGTCCATACAGGGCTCTGAGGGAGTCTGCCAGGGGGCCTCAGCCACACTCTCCCTCTGCCTTTTATCCCTTGCTCCGTGGGCAGGCCTCTTGGGTCTACACCCCGACTGGCCAGCTGACAGCCGTCTCCCCAACCTTGGTCCAAGGCTTCTGCCTCTTCCTGTTCCTGTCTCAGACACCCAGTTACAAACTGGGAGCACTCCTGAGACTCCTGACTTCCACTGCCTCACATTTTAAGCCACTGATCAGGTAAGTCCCCTGCTGGGCTCTGCAGTGGCTCCAGGTTGGATCGATGGCTGAGATCATATCCTGAGGTTCTGTTTCAAAACCCACACTGTGGTGGTTTGAAAGAGAATGGCTTCCAAAGGGAGTGGCACTATTAGGAGGTGTGGCCTTGTTGGAGTGGGTGTGGCCTTGTTGGAGTGGGTGTGGCCTTGCTGGAGGAAGTGTGTCACTGTCGGGGTGGGCTTTGAGTTCTCCTATGCTCAAGCTACTCACAGTGTGACAGTCTACTTCCTGCTGCCTGCAGATCAAGATGCAGCAGCTCCTTCTCCAGCACCTACCTGCAGGCTGCCATGCTCCCCACCATGATAATAATGGACTAAACCTCTGAAACTGTAAGCTTCCACCTCCATTAAAAGGTGTTCCTTTATTAGAGTTGCCGTAGTCATGGTGTCTCTTCACAACAACAGAAACCCTCACTAAGACACACACCATGTGCATTTGACCCAGCTCCAGCCATGTCGTGAAACAGCTGAGCAGACCCCAGGGGCTGTGGGCCATGAAGCATTTCGTTATCTGAGCTGCTCCAAGTGTGCCTGGGCTAAGTCGGTCTGGAAAATGCTAGTATCGACCAACCTAAAGGGGCTAATACCGGGCAGTCTGACAATTCTCACAGGAGACCTACTCACCCCCAAACAAGGTGGAACCTCATCTACACAGCCCCTGTCTAGACTTGACACCCTGGAGCTGCCTGGAGAGTTCAGAGGGACATGGTAGCAGGGGTCCTGGGATTTCCCCATCCACAGGGTAGGATTAGAACCAGAGTAAACACCAAGTGTGCAGTGTTGGGGGAGCAGCAGAGCTCCGGGCACACATGCCACATGCACAAGTTATACACGTACCCTACCCACTCCCAAACATACCACGGGCCCACTTTGACAAACGCTGTCAGGGACATGGCACAGACCAGACATAGACTCGCATATATGTTACACACACCACACATACTTAAACACACGCATATGTGTTCACATATTCACACAAATTTATACATACCCTACACATTTATTCACACATGCATTACACTCAACAAATCACCTCTTATACACATACACACTAATACACACACACTCATATACACCATATAAACACAACATTATACACATACACACACACACACACACACACACACACACACACACACACACACACACACACACCCGTGCTGGGAAGAGCCAATCAAGTCACTGCCTGGAGTAGGCAGTGGATTGATTATCATGGGCTATGGCTGGCAGCTCTAGATTGCTATAAGCACAAGATGGGTCGGACATGCCAGGCACAGGATAGACATACCGGCCAAGCCCCTCTCCAGGCCCTGTCACAGGTGGGGCTTCTGGTGGCAAGGGAGTGGGCCCTCACAGCTGGCCTGAAAGGGAAGCAGTGTGATGTCCAGGACTATTCACGGCCACTGAGCCAGGGGAGCAGCTCCGCAGCCACACGGCATTCTTCCTGCTGGACCTGTCTGTGACCTCCTGATCAGCACCTTCCTTGCCCTCGGGGGCCAGGTGCAGAACTCAACAGACACAGCCAAAGCCCTGGGCAGTAGAGGCTCCGCATCAGTACGTCTGTGAGTGCTTGGAGATTCGGGGTAGCCGGCCTCTAGGAGAGCAAGAAATAGAAGGCCTTTTCAATGAGACCAGCCCAACCACCCCAGGACACTCCAGGAAGCCCAAGTCAGAGCCCAGTGTCCTTGCCCAGGCGGGCCCAAGGAAACCCTTGGAAACAACCAGAGGGAGGGGCTGTGGTTCATCTGTGTTCATCAGAAGAGAAATTGAGGCATAGGGCAACAGAGACACAGATCCGAAGCCTTTCCATCGGCCAATGTCCCAGGTGCCCCTTCCTAACTCTGAGACAGTTGAGGCCCTCATCAGCATATGTCCCCTTGGCCTGGGGCCCTCTGCACCACACCTCAGCTCAAGGGAAAACTAGAGACCTGCTCCCTGAGCCTCAGAAGGGCCGAGGGCTGCTCTCAAGCACCTGGCTGTGGAATTAGCCATGTCACTAGCTCCATGGGAGCTCAGAGGCCGTGGAAGAGAAGAGCAGAGCTTGCGGTGTGCTCACCTTGCTGCAAATGAGTTTGCCTGGCCAGTTCCTGGGTCCAGAGGACAAAGGATGGGGGAGGAGCGTGGGGTCCCAGGCCCAGGGGCCTAGCAGCCCAGTGAGCCCGAAGGAGAGTGACAAGTTGGTGTTTGTCACACAGTATTGTGATGCAAGAGCTAAGTGGCAGCCGCGTTTGGCTTTATTGTGGGTTACCCACTAGTCCCCCTGAAACACACACACCATGGACCCACCTCCACCACACACACCATAGACCCGTCCTTACCAACCATGTGCACTGGAAGCTTCCAGCAGACCTAACAACCATCAACTTGCTTATTCCAAATGGTAGTGTCTCAGGCCAAAAGCATCATGTATTATAAGAAGAAAGGTTCTGAGGGGGGCTGGAGGTAAGGGGGACAGGGATGGGCATAGTCCTGTAAGTCCTATGGTTTCTTTGCTCCGAGAAACATCCTGTTCACTTCTTTAGGGAACCAAGCTATTCTATGAGCCAGGTGTCTGCCCTGATGAGATCAGGCACCTTCTACATCTCCACAGCGTCTGCAAACCTCACTGACACTTCGACTCTGAGATGATGTCAGGGCTAGAAACCAAGGGGCTGGTGATGAACTTCCTGGAAGCAGCTCTCCTCTCTCTCTAGCCACCCCCACCCCCACCCCAGGTCCCAGACCCAAAGGAGGGTCTGTACAACCAGCCGGACCAGGCATCTCGCTCGCCGGTGTCTGCCAGGAGATGGTTGCCAGGCTAAAATAAGCAGCATTGTTCAGCCGACACAGCTTTGACGTCTCTGCCGGCTGGCTTGTTTCAGACGACAAGTCCACACAGGCATTGCTCCTCACTCAGGCCCCAGGCACACACCCACATTCAGTGGGGCTTGTGCACCCTCAGGCAGTCACGTAGGGAGACGCTGCTGAGCTGGCCTGTGAAGGAGCTGGGCCTGGGAAGTCCAGGGCCAGATCCCAAGGGGCCCTCAGGAATGCTCCCCCTGCGGAGCAGTGCCGGGGACAGCTTCCTGTGGGATTCATACCGCCGCCTCCCTTTCGGGGGCAGACAGGCCTCTGAGCCAGAATGTGGAGAACGAGGGTGGTTTCCATGTAGAAATAATGTGTGGGAGGGTACAAGCGATGCTGGATACGTGCAAAGGCTCAGGAGACCTAGCCAGAAGGTTGTCCTGGGGCCATGTGCAGAGCTACTTGCTCCTTTGGGCAAAGCCCCCTCCAGAAGGGCTCACACACAGTCTCCCATGTCCTCCTGAAGGCCAGCTCTTCTGTTCTTATCCTTATTGCTTATAGCATCCTGGAGACCCTGCAGCCAGGATGCTCTGGTTCCACTACTTCTGAGAGGCATCAAGAGGACAGGAAGGACAGTGTACACTAGATTAGCCACAGGTGGACCGTAAGTATCCCCAGAGTGTCTGTGCAAATCTGTTTTCTACCCTAGCAGGAAGGAGGAAGGGGGGCAGTGACATGTTGAAACATGTCACTCCTGCCTGAGATGGCTTGGGAGCTTCAAAGAGCTGGACCAGATTCAGTGGGTTCAGAACGATGTCCACAGGTGAAGGACCAAACTGGTCAACAGAATGTGGAGAGCAAAGAAAACAGTCAGGAGAGGACTGTGACAGCCGCCCAAGAACACGAGACCAGTGTGGCTACAGAGGACCAGGTTTCATCCACGGGCACCTTATTACAAAGATGCATCTGAGGTTGGGCCTCAGTCTGCATCCCTGCTAGCCTGAGTGACTGCTGGAGGTCAACGTCTCCTAAGGATCATTTGCATGTGACATAAAAGAAGGAAGGGCTCAGGTATATCGATCACTGCCCATCCCCGACGTCTGTCACTCAAGCACTTTGGAAGGCCCTTCTTCTTCCATGAGACTAACACACACATACACACACACACACACACACACACACACACATCCAAATGCCCTGCCAGGATGAACTTTATCAGACTCTTGGCCAAGGGGACCAGATTGTCTCATCTGTCCTGTCTGGAGCACATGGGACTTCCCTGCATCTGGAAAAGACAAGATCAGAGTTACCATTATGGAGGAACTATTGCCCTGCTCCTCACAACTTTTTTTTTTCCTGCACAAGACCTAGCCAGTCAATAGTCCAGCATGGAGAAGAAACCATGCTGGGTTACGTGCTCTCACCTGTAGCTGAGGAGCTGTTGACCACCATTGATGGCTGCTGGGGAAGGGAGAGTCATGGTTCTTCAAAAGTGTGGCCGCTGGTAGGTCAACCACTGTCCAGTGGATGGTCTCACATTCATTCTTATAGGTGCAGCACTAATTGAATTAGGTGGGTGTCTTCATGGATGTGGAGTTTCTATTGCTGTGACAAAATACCATAACCAAAAAGCAAGTTGGGAAGGAAAGGGCTCACTTCAGCTAAACTTCCTGTTCATCATCAAAGGAAGTCAGGACAGGAGCTCAAACAGGCAGGAACCAGGAGGCAGGAACTGATGCAGAGGCCATGGAGGAGTGCTGCTTACTGGCGTGCTCAGCCTGCTTTCTTAGAGAATGGAGGACCACCAGCCCAGGGATGGCATCACCCACAATGAGCTGGGCCCTCCCCGACCAATCACTGAGAAAATGCCCTACAGCTGGATCTTATGGAGGCATTTTCTCAGTTGAGGTTTCCTCTTCTCTGATGACTCTAGCTTGCGTCAGGTTGACATAAGCCTAGCTGGGGCAGGGGGTTAGAAAAGAAAAGAGAACAAGAGAAAGAAAGTGGTGGTTGTGGAGCAGGCCTGGAGGGGTGGAGTTAGGGATGGACATGATCGAAATATGTTGTATGCATGTGTGAAATTCCCAAAGAATTAATAAAAAACATATTTTAATTGTTCTTTTTAAAATCGATTTTTAAAAAGCAGAGTAGGTGGGAGGAAGAGAGAGACTGCCCGTGAATTTCAGGCAGTAGGCACCCGGATGTCCTAGGGTACCAGTCATGAAGTAGGAGAGGTACAGTGAGACATGCTGTTGAGACCCTGTGACATTGTCCCAAGTCAGGCTGCGACTGCCTACTCCCCTGTTGCAGTTACATGAAAAAAAAAAAAATGGAAACTTGCACTGTACATGGTTAGTTTAATTTTGCTTTCTTTCTTCCATTTTTTTTTTCCCTCACAGAGTAGGGGTTGGGACTCAGGGGTCTCACTTAAGCGCTGTATCACTGAGCCACAACCCAGCACCATATATGTTGAGGTGGTGTGTGTGTGTGTGTGTGTGTGTGTGTGTGTGTGTGTGTGTGTGTGTGTGATGTGATGTGTGTGCATGCTCACACATGCACACGAAATAGTGTGTTGCATGCATGTGAATGTGCAGAGACCCATGCATGTGCATGTAGAGGCCAAGGCAAGAAGTCAGGCATGTTCCTCTATCACTCCACACCTTATTGTCTTGAGCCAGGATTTCTCACCAAACTAGCAGCTCACCACTTTGGCTAAGCATTCTGGTTAATGTGCTGTCGGGATCTGCCTGTCCCCACCCTCTCTGAGTGGTGGAGTCACAGGCATACACAACCAAGCCCAAATTCTTTTTATTTTCTTTCTTTCTTTTTGGGGGGGTGTTGTAATTTATTTTTTGGTTTTTATATCCTGACTAAAGTTTCCCTTCCCTCCTCTCCTTCTAACTCCCCCCCCCCACGCTGTCCACTCCTCTTCCTCTGTTTCTTCAGATCCTGGCCTCCCATGGATATCAGCCAACCATGGCCTATCAAGTTACAGTGAGACTAAGCACCTCCTCTTCTATTAAGGCTGGATGAGGCAATCAGTAGGCGCAATGGGTCCCAAGAGCAGGCAACAGAATCAGAGACAGCCCCTGCTCCCACTGTTAGGAGTCTCACAAGAAGACGAAGTTACACAATTATAACATCCATGCAGAGGGCCTAGGACAGTCCCGTGCAGGCTCCTTGGTTGTTAGTTCAATTTCTGTGAGCCCCTATGAGCCCAGGTTAGCTGTTTCTGTGAGTTTTCTTATAGACGCTTGATTTTTGATAAAGAAGCCAAAATTATACAATGGGGGGGAAAGCCATCTTCAACAAATGTTGCTGCTCTAGCTGGGTGTTGGCATGTGGAAAAATGTAAATAGATCCATATCTATCACCCTGCACAAAACTCAAGTCCAAGTGGATCAAAGACTTCAACATAAATCCAGATACACTGAACTTGATAGAACAGACGGTGGGAAGTAGCCTTGAATGCATTGGCACAGGAGACCACTTCCTCAACAGAGCACCAATGATGCAGGCACTAAGATCCACAATTAATGAATGGGACCTCATGAAACTGAGACACCTCCGTAAGGCCAGCCTCACTTCTTATGCGGGTGATGGGGATCTGAACTGGGTCCTCATGCTCCCGGAGCAAGTACTTCTACCCACTGAGCGGTTGTGGGATATCTTTCTGTATGCTGTGAATGTATGTTGCTACCATTGGTTGATAAAGAACTGCTATGGCCTGTGGCAAGGCAGAACAGAGCCAGGTGAGGAATCCAAGGAGAAAGACAAGGAGAAGAAAGGCAGAGCAACATGATGCCAGCAGATCAGAAACGCCACGGCCATGTGGCAAAATATAGATTAATAGAATAGGTAATTTAAAATGTAATAGATAGCTAGCAATAAGCCTGAGCCATAGACCAAACAGTTTGTAATTAGTAGTAAGCCTCTGAGTGATTATTTTATAAAAAAATAGCTCCGGCCCAGGTGGGACTAAGAAACTTCAGTCCACACTGAGGCACCTCTCCAGACCCTTTCCCCTTTTTCTTTTTTAAAGGAGCTTTTTCTGGACTGTTAACGCCATGACCTGAATATCTCCTCTCTTGTCCCTAGAAGCCAGCCTCCAGGGACCCTGGCCTCTACTGATGGGTCTGCTTCTACTGGCTGGCCTTGCTTTGATGGGCCAGGGGTTGACTAGCCGATTGTCCACATCCTGGTTAGGGTTTCTGTTGCTGTGATAAACACCATGACCAAGAGCAACTTGGTGAGGAAAGGGTTTACTTCAGCTTGCAACTCTCAGGTCACACTCCATCTGTGAGGGAAGTCAGAGCAGGAACCCAAACAGGAACCTGGAGGCAGGAACAGAAGCAGAGACCATGAAGGGGTGCTGCTTACTGGCTTGCTCCTTGTGGCTTGCTCAGCCTGGTTTCTGTTTGTTTTGTTTTGTTTTTCAGAGCTGAGGACCGAACCCAGGGCCTTGTGCTTGCTTGGCAAGCGCTCTATCTCTGAGCTAAAATCCCCACCCCTGGCATGTTTTCTTATATAACCTAGGACCACCTGCCCAGGGACGGCACTCCCAGTGGGCTCGGCCCTGCCACATCAATCATTAACCAAGGCGAAACCTCTCAGACTTGCCAACAGGCCAAGATTATGGAGGCATTCCCTCTCCCGTGTGTCTAGGTTTGTGTTGACAAAAACAACCGTGTAAGGTATGTGAGCCCAGTGTCTACAGACACAGCTTCCTACAAAGCCATCACCACCCAAGTGTAGGCGACAGAAAGTGCCTCTTACGGGCTTCACTAGCAACGCCCCCCAGCGAGGGTCCCTTGATGAAGACATTTTAAACACAGTAACAAATGATAATAACCGAGT